TCTATACTATTATAATAAAGCGTAAACATACACTTGTTTGTTGCCTAAGATGTCATATTTTTTAATAATTCGTTTTTAATAGAAAGCCTACACTTACGTCACGCTTTAGGCTATATATTTTCACGCCATTAAACTTAGGGGGTAATTATTTTGGATAAAAACCCTAATGTGGGAAAGAGACCATAAGTTGCTGCCAACATCAAGGAAGCAAGGTGGTCTTCATGTGAAGTCATTTTGACATTTGATATTGATAATTTGACAAATGTAAACAATAAAATAAAATTTTCATAATTTCATGCGGATAAAGCCGCACGGGAACAGCTAGTTTTAAAATAAAGGTGATATTTTCACTGTCTATTTCGACATTTTAACATTATCCGGATCATCCGAGGAGTTATAAAAAGTACTTCCAAAGGTTAATCCTTCTGTGAATTAAAAGTTCAGACGCGATTATATTACCATAAATTTACATAGCAATGTCAAAAAGTTAAAACTTTCGGGATATAAGCTGATCAAAAGCTTACTAGATAATATAAAAATGAATGAATTACAAATCAAAATGGTTCAGAACAATTCCACATTAAAACTTTGTATTTCTCGTATTAGACTTTCTGACTGAATAAATCATAATAGTAATGTAAGAAATATTACTAAAATACAAAATTGACGGATATAACATCGAAAATTTTACCGATAACTGATATTGTATTGCTTATGAAGCAGTTCACGGACCTGTCCCACCACCGGCTGATAGAGGCTCAGTTTAAAAATTACGTTACTGTCAGATAAGGACAGAAAATGCGATATTTCCATCACATACTCGTATTTTACACGTTGGATCGGTATCAGAAAATTTGCAATAATTTGGTAGGACTGACTTTAGTTATATATTTTAGCCGGATCTATTTCGACCCGATAAAACCCATCTCTTAAAATAATAAAAGTTTCTGGTGTAATTACCCATTTCTACTGTATTTCAGTAGAGATAAGATGTTATTAGGTCATGTAAGAATTACATTTAGTCCGAATACGCTTCAGTTATCTAATAAAGGGATAATAGAATTACAAATTCGATGACCATACTAATCCTATATTAGATTACTACATATTAATTAGGTCCTCAAAGTGGACCTAACCTAATCCGTTGAGGAAATTCGTGCAAACACTATCTCATTTAACACATGATTGCCTTATTAAGTACCAATCTAAGTAATAATGTTATATACCATAAAGAGATCGCTAACATTTAGGTCAATTTCTATTAGTTTCATTTAGTACGACCTCCTTATAGACCATACTTATCCCAAATTACAGGGTAAAAAGACCTAATATTTACAATCATCTAGTCACTACGATATGTGGTAGACAATAACTTTTCCTTGCCACCCTTTTTTTAAGAGAAGAATTGGAAGGAAATGTGGGTTAGACGATAGAGACGCATAGGAGGAGTAAATAGCCTGTTTATGTGCATCTCCTCTTCCGACGATTAAGTGTAGACAACGCATCTGCAATTGTGCATTTTGGCGGATTAGGGTTGCCGCTTACTTGTTTGCTACCGTATAATAAAAAAATGTATTCTTGTTTTTTAATGAATTAGAGAATATATATTTTCTATAAGTGTTTCGGTAGTGAAAATTTAAGGTTATACATCACAATGAACGTTTTTAAGTAAAAACCCGACTACAAAAGAATGTCGTGATACAATATTCTCTTAATGAATTTAACAAGTTTTCAAATTCAATATTTTCCCACAGCACTTTAAGCTTTCTAAAAGAAAATGTTTTCATGACAAATATGTATTCAGTCGAGCAAATGGTTTTTATGACCCTCAATCAAACACGAGATGACAGATATTAATTTGTCGTCGGGACGCACTCAATGCGAAAATTGATTCACTGGCAATGATCATGTTTATTGTGAACAAAATAAAAAGATCCACTCAACGAATGCGATATGTTTTCTGTTACCTAATGTAACCCGATTTTTTTGTATTGTTATACTTTTTGAAATCTAAACGGGATAGAGACAGAGCGATAAAATTCTTGTGACGTTTGCAAATTAAGTAAATGTCCTTACAGAAAATGTCATGTTAATAATAAAAATAACTTACTTCTCTAACGAAGACCCAAATAAAGTTTGACCTAAGACAGGAGATCACCAACCAACGCCATTTTTGCCAAACAATTGCTTGCTGTTCAGTTTAGGTCCAAAATTTTTGCCCAGCGGGATTCTGCCGTAGAATTGGCTAAAATAAATTTACTATTAATAAGAATTTTAGATACCTCTTTAAATTACAATAGCAAAATCGTTTTAATAACTTCAGTCTTTAGTAGTTAATATAGTCTTAATATTACGGCTTCCTTTGCCAAGATAAGACTTCAAAGCGACTGATGCAGTTTATAATAAACTTTGATCAAAGTTGCCTTGAATGGACCGAGGCGGACCAACATGATTAGTTATTGATTTTAGTACCCAATAACTTACGATTTAAAACTAAAAATGTGAAATATAAATGTTATACTAAATTACTTTTACTTAATAAATGCTTTTTATATAGAATTGTTTTTAAAACCTGTATGTCTGACTTGAATATAATAATTTTACAACTGTCGTATTTATGAAGTACCTTCACTCGAAATATTTTTTTCAGTTACTTTAATTTTAAGATTACCTGCAAAATTAATATTTTTAAATGTTACCATACACTGCCTGTATAGACGATACTAGCGCCTTGGGCGACATCTTACCTTTCTCCCTTTTTACCAAGCCTGGTGTTTGTGTTACGCGAGATTGCATAATTCCTGCCTTCGCCCCTTTCTGTCCGGCGCCCAGGGCGAAACGAAGCCTCGCACTAGGGTCGTTAGTGATCAGACTACAAATTAAATTATATCAAAATGTCGACAACCAATCTAAGGTATATATTGAAGCGAACATTTTCCCATTTCGCTTATATCCGATTTAAGTTACATTTACAACGTTTGAAATATCAGTTTATACACATAGTTAACTTTTCTACAAAACTGTTAGATATTTGGACACAAATGACTACCTTTATAATATACAACCTTTATAATATTGATAAAATAGTACAGATTAACAAATAACTTTTGAGAGTACAGTATATACAAAATAGATAAAGAGCTAACACAACATTACTTAAATTTTAAATCGACTTTTGTTTAACATAAATGCACATTTTTTTTAATGTTTCAAAATAAAATAATAAAAAGATGTTTGAGATTTTTCAGATTTCCTTTACTGATAATCAAGTACTTACATAGGAGATAAATAAAACATTATTTATGTACATACATATATCAATTTATTAACTTATTAAATTAAATCCTAAACAGTGTCAATCAATATGGATTATTCCATACACAAAAATCTTATATTCTAATACTAATTCTATTAAATCTATTGTAGATAAATTTGGGAGAGGAGAAATTAATTCAAATTTAAGATTTTACAATATTAAGACGAATGGGGAAATTACTAAGTGAAAATAACCGTGGGGAATATTAATTTCTATATTTTCAATATTCCACAAAAACCTTAACTTCTACAATGTTCTTTTAATTAGATATCCCCCTAATAGAATTTAATGCATTACAAATATCTTATAAACAGATATTATTTTAAAGTCGAAATAAAAAATCAAAAATCTACCAAATAATCGTTTACAATGAATCAAATTTTTACAACCTGTTGTTTAGACCTCTTAGGAAAAATAATAAAATAAATAATAGATTACATGCTTTATTTTTCACCAGTAATTAATTTAAAGATAATTTTAGTACATATCGATTTTTGTTAAAATAGTTGAAGGGAATCTTTCATAAAATACATGAGTACATCAAAACTGCTATCAAGAGAAAGTGCTTTACTTTAGTACCGACAAGAATGGTACTAGTAAATTATAAAGGTTAACGCGCATTCGTCAAACAAATTTTTCGTCGTCCACTCACCATTAACCTTTAACTTGGCAACACTGTATAGTTTTGCTAACAATCTTTACCTCGGTTCCTTTTGGTAATTGGTACAATCGGGGAAAATGACGGTGTTCCATCTTAAAAGCAACAATTCTTTGGACATTTTGAAACGAGATGCGGAACAAAAATCAATACGACGCAGCTTAAAATGTGTCTGTGCGAAAAACGTCAGTTGGAGACTCACGGCTTCTTTTTACTATTATCTCTTTTCGCATTTACACAACTCACTGATATCTAAATAGTTATAGGTGATGTTTGCCTAGTTGCAATGATTAAGGCAACTTTTCCTGAAGTGGAACTCCGCGGATTTCCGTGACTGTACCATTTTATTAGCTATACGCCATTTAGATTCATTAATCGTGAGTGGACGAAAAGTTGACGAATGCGCAATAACCTGTTCTTTGAATATTATCCTAACTTAATATAAATGTGGTCAGATTCAAACACGGAATCATCACAATGTTCAATGTCAAATGCCGCAATACACTGCGGTTTATGCCACAAGACACGTTACCGGCCACTTTTTCACAATCCACTGCCAATAACAATTTAAAACATAATTACAACGGAATTATCAACATCTTTATACGATTTGGGATTTAAACATGCATGATTTAGTTCGACAAATACGACATACATAAAACTGTACAGTTAAAACTGTCACATTGTTTTAGTTAATTTAATTTGAATCAGATTTTAATCATTTCGCGGAATACATTTATTGATAGCGTCGACTGTTATAGTATTGTGATATTGAACGCATATTGGACGCGTGTATCAAAGCTTGTAAGATGTTGATTGTTTGCCATGTGTATTGGCCAGGATACACTTGACGCGTTACTGATATTGTTTCATGTGTTAGGCGACGTTG